GGTATTTAACTTCCCGAATAGACCCTATTTTAAGGAGTTTGGATACCCCGTCCTTGATGAATGCATGCTTGACCTCGGACTGTGGCCTCCTCTTTTGCTTAACTAGATGGAACTTCCGGTCTAAACTCAGGTTGTGAGTGGTTACTTCCTGTGGGATCCCTGTCATGTCAAGGTGGGACCAAGCGAAACAGTCTATGTTAGCTTTAAGAAAATTAATGATTTTTTTCCTGAGCTCGGGAGTTAATCCCGTGCCCAGGTATACCTTTTGATCCGGTAGGTGTTCGATCAATATGACTTGCTCCAACTCCTCGACCGTCGATCGGGTGGCGTCGGTATCATCAGGAGCTATGAATGATCTTGGAACTCCGTAATCATCCTTCGCGTCCACTCCTCGTTCTTCCGGTTCAGTCGAGACCGTCATCGGTGATTGCTATTTAATTTCTTCTTTTTTGGTCAGCTCTATATTCCTTGATATCAAAACCGCCGGAATCGGGATTACCTCGTCGACTGCGAATATTTACTTTGCGGCCGGCTGCTCTCCATAGACCATCTTGACTCCTCCCAGTGTAGGGAACTTCAGCGCCTGGTGTAAGGTTGAGGGTACAACCCTCATCTTGTGAACCCACGGCCTTTCGAATAGGGCATTTTACCTCATGTCCCCTTCTATCACGTAGAACTTTGTCTCTTGGATCGTCCCAGTGGTGTTCACTGGTAGGGTTATCTCCCCTTTAGTGGTTTCGCATGCCATGTTAAATCCGTTCAACACCCAAAGCAGGCATTATTTGGTCCTATAACCCCAACTGCTCTACGACCCTCGATCTGATAATGTTGGCCGGGCTACTTAGATCAATCAACACATGTTTAACTAGAGATTTATCGATAAGTACGGATATTACCAACGCATCATTGTGTGGTTGCACGATGCCTTCGACCTCCTCGTCGCCGAACGAAATGGTTCCCTCCGAAACATAATCTCGGGTGTGTTTCTCCCTTATGATAGATACTTTAGTGCGCTTTATCATTGGCCCTTGGGGGATAGATGACGTGCTGAGGCTCTTCTTGCTTGGCCTGTTTGTTGGCATCCCTATTCCTGAAGTGGTTGTTGGCTCGATCACTCAGAAATTCTCGGAGGTGCCCGTTATCGGACAATCGGGCAACTTCTTCTCTCAATTGTTGGCAATCCTCGGTCCTATGGCCATGGGTGCCATGATACTTACACATCAAGTTAGGATCTCTTCGGGTAGGGTCGGGCTGCAATGTTCGGGGCCACTTGGTTTCCTTGATGCGCCCGATGGCCGATACGATGCTGGTCGCATCAACGTTGAAGTTGTTCTGACAATCTAGGTGCTTCGCTACCCCCGAATGTCCCATCGAAACCATTTTTGCTCATTAGACCTCGGCTCTTGGGCCCTCGATCGCCTCTCTTTTCGTTCCTTATGGGCTGACGCCCAGACCCATTTCCCCTTCGGTCCACTTTGTATGGTTGGTACCGATCTCGGACCGGCCTTGAGTCATGATCAACGGCTCTCTTAGACTTGTCGTCGGCCCTGATGGGGGTAAACATATCCAGAAGAGGCTCCGAGTTGATCGTCCTCGACTCCAATCTTTGACTGGTACCTGTTGTGGACGTCGGCCTAAGTTACCGTCGGGTACTCTACCAAGTTTTGTTTTAGCTGTTGTGAAACGAAGGAGCTTCAGGGGTTAAGTCCTTGGGTAAATGCCTGAACGGCCCAATCATCTGCGACCGGAGGCAGGTCCATCCGTTCCATCTGGAACCTCGACACGAATTCCCTGAGCATCTCGTTGTCTCTTTGTTTAACCTTGAAAAGGTCTGACTTTCTGGTCTCGACCTTGATGGCCCCAGCATGGGCCTTCATGAAAGAATTTGCAAGCATAGCACGAGTAAATAGAATTTAGGGGTAAGTTGTGGTACCATATCATTGCTCCTTTGGACAAAGTTTCCCCGAACTTTTTCAGCAACACCGACTCGATTTCATCATCTTCCAAGTCGTTCCATTTGATCGCGAATGTATAGGAGGTTACATGCTCATTCGGATCATGGTCCCGTTATACTTTGGGATATCAGGCATATGAAACCTCTTTGGGATTGGCTTCGGTGCCGCGCTCGGAGGGAAGGACTTCTAGATAAACTTCTTGGAATCGTCCCTTTCAATATCGGGGGTGCTCCCGGAATTTGATCAACCCTGGAGTTGTATGTTTCCACCTTCTTTTCATTAGCCTCAATTTTCCTTTCACCTGATTCCACCCGCTTCGTTAATGCTTCAAGCATTTTCATTATTTCGGGATTGACCCCTGACTCAGCTTCACCTGGCCTCTCGGTGATCTACCCATTCCTTCGGATGTTCTCCCGGGACGGTTCGGGCTCAACTCTTCTAGGAGCATGGCTCTGATTCTGCAGTTGTGCTATTGTCGCATGTTGAGCATGCAACCGAAGATTAACTGTAGTCTAACCCCATCGCCTTCGCCTTCGGGCACTTCTCGAGCCGTTGGTCGGGGTCCCCGCGAATGCTGTTTTCGAGATCAGTCGGGAGGTTGACATCGATGGCCACCTGTGAGTTAGCATTGACCAGATCGGCAACTAGGACTCCATTGGGGTCAGCAAGAGGTACTTCATTGCTAGGCACCAGATTGTTGTTTTCGCCATGATGGCCAGACTCAACGTCAACGTTCAAGTGGGCAGACTGAGAATTTGATATTTTTAAACTGACCTGAAATTAAGACTTTAAAGAACAAGCGTAAAATACATTGTGTTATGGAGATTTGTATCAATCACCACTATTATTCTTAGCCCCACGGTAGGCGCTAAATTATTTACCCTTAAAATGGATAACAACTGAATTTATACGTTGTATTAAGGATATGTGGATTGATTCAACACAAATAATCAAGAATATTAGATAAACGAGTTAAAGAATAAATGAGTGATCAAACCAATTGTAATGTTACGGCCAGACTCGAATTTAGGTTGAACAGTAGTTTTGCCCTCGATCGGACCCTTGGTTCGAAGTCAATCGTGAATAAAGAACAGATGTAAAATAAGAACTTAGCTATAAAGCAGAAAAATGAATATGTATTGCCTTGATATGCGTGTTACAATGTGTCCTATCAAAGAAAAAACTTCCCTTTTATATAGTAGGAGAGTTTCACCCCCTAATATAAGTCTAAAGGTAAAAAAATTCCTCCCTTGTTAATTACTGATCCATAACCACGCGAGATCCACGCCGTGATATCCGGTTGGTTGCGGATGTCACGGCCCTCTATCGGTCGCCCTCAATCGTTCTGCGCTTTCCGAAGTCTCAGAACTCGCCCCGAGTCCGGGGTGCGTCGTTTTATCAAGTCCGATGGCGGGCCTCGATACAAAGAGTTTACAGCTTCGATTTCGATCTGATATATTCATGCTCTTACTTTGTTTGATCCACGTGGAAATTGGGGGTGCCTTATCCCCGATTTCAGCCGTATACAAATTGATCTCATGATCAGTTCACCTTAGGCACCAACTGCTGCTTCAATTAAAGTGGTCTTTTCTCTCGAATAGTTTTGTTAAGAAGTATAGTAAATTTTGGGAAGGAGAAATATTTCTACCCTCGAAATTTTGCAGCTATGTCCGTTTCATTTAATTACATTGAGATTTTTAACTGGATATATATGTCAAGTAAAGAAAAGAATTTTGCGAATAAGCTATGTATATTTAATGTAGTAAAAGTACTCTTCTTTAATATGCCATATTAATTAAAGAGACGGATTTATGGTTTAAACATTATGGTTCAAGTTCAGGATTTTAATACAACCTACATTTGATTTAGTAGGTTCAAAATATATAATTTGTACTTATTTAGTGAATGTTTTTAACACATATGTCAAAATTCCAGCCAAAACTATTGTGTTCATATAAAATGTATGATAGATCCGTCCCTGCTTTACTTGAAACAGAGAACTGGAGTCAAGGGCGGAGCCAGCCTTATAGTCACGGGTTCTGCAGAACCCATTAGCTTTGGCTCAAATCTAATGTGTTAAATAATTTATTGAATATGTATAAAAAGTTTATTTAGAACCCAGTAAGTAAAATAAATTATAGTCCAGAACCCATAAACTAAATATTCTAGATTCACCTCTAACTCGAGTTGACTTCTGAATATACAAATTGAATGATCACATTTATGTATATATTTATAAATCCATCATTTTATGTTTTGTAAGAAATTAAGACCTAATTAAAGGCAAATCCTGAAGAATAAAATGAAAATGCAAATTATATAGATTATAGAAACCTAAATTAAAGAAGTGGAATAATATCCGTATGAACAGTTATCACGTAACCCTGCTAAATAAACAGAAATAGACTGTCATATTAGTAACATCAAACGGCCCCGTAGATTGATGTATAGAAACTGTTCTCTCACTGTCCTCATCGTCACAATCCAAATTTCCAGGTTGTTAAAGTTACTTGTCCAGATAAACAACCTTTTTACGAATCTTTATTGTTAGGTGTTGACAGAATAGCTAAAATAGCCCCGTCCTATATATTGCTTTCAATGTTATAGTCAATAGACGAAAGCTAAAAAAGTAGCCCACAATTTTATCCGTACTCTTTGAGAGTCAAACATTGAAGATCAGGAAGTGAAGAATGCCTATTTAGGGTGAGTTGTCACAAAAATATGTATATACAAAAATCATAACATTTCTAAATTTTGAATTTGCTTCTAAATTATCCTTTATATGCTGGTAGAGGAAGTGTGAAAACAAGAATAGCTGCTCTCCAGCTTTAAAAGTTTGGCAATTTGGTCGATTTATAGCTGAAAGCAACAAAGAAGCTGAGTAAACACGTGCCGCTAAATGCCAGAACCGACCAAAACATCCAAGAATTTTGGTCATTTTTCAACGTTGTAGCTCACCCACCATTGTCCACGTGTTCATATCTCCTACTTTTCTTCGACTCCAAATTTAATTGACATTCTTCCTCTCTTGACATTATTAATTATATATAGAACCCAAATGCTTATTCTAAGTGAAGCTGATTTTCTTGAAATAGAATTCCAACTTAATGCCATATGGCTCCAGGCTTACTCTCCTCTGCTTTGGCCTTAATGCTCTTGCTGTTTATAGCAGAGCTTTGGTGCTGCATTGAGTCAAGTAGGGTTGTTTTGGGTTCAAGATTGTTAGCTAAAGAGAACAAAGCATGGTTTTCTGACAATAAAACTTTTGCATTTGGCTTCACACCAACAGCAGAATCACATGATCAATATCAGTTGTCTATTTGGTTTGCGCAACTTCCAGGGGATCGCACATTGGTTTGGTCACCTAGCATGTAAGTTTAACTACTTAATTTGTCCATTAAGTTGTAATGCTTGTCAACTTATTACTTCAAGTCGTGCATGATTTAACTCGTAGTTAAGGATTTAACTTATATATACTAATCTTTTGACTTGTTATAGCATTTTGGATGGTTGTTACATATTCTTTCATGATGTATCGTATTATCTTGTATTGTATTGTTTTTATGAATACAACATCTGGAAAGATTGTATTGTTTGATGTCGTTTCATGATATTACGTAAAATAAACTTACAATATTACAAAGAAAATATAGGGTACGAAGTAGAATTATTATATAAAAAGGTAGGCTAAAAGATAAAAAAAAAGATTATTTTATTATAAGGAAGTGCAAGATGAGAGAAAAAATAAGGCAACAACGCGACCGCACCTAATCAATCATTACATAAAAGTGACACTTTTCGTTGTTACATAAAGACAATAAAATTTAAGTAACAACTAAAACAACATTCTATTTAAAGTAACAATACGAAACAATACAATTGGTAACAACCATCCAAAAACTAAAAGTTACTAATTTCACATTTATGGACGATTGCTTGTAGTTATCGCTTAGGTGACCTTGTGTAAAACTTTTTATATTGTTAGTGTATAGAAGTTTAACGCCTCGTTATTTCTTTCCCAACGTGAAGTAGTCCAGGTTTCTTTCTCTTAAAAAAGGGGGCAAGAAACAGAGAATGTTAGATGGAACTAGAATTTCATCAAAATGCTTAAGTCTTAACATGTAAACATAAGTTTGAATGGTAGGTTCTTTAGAGATGTTATTCTTATATTAGACTTAGTTGGAAAAAGGCAGAATGTATTCCTCCATCTCTAGTTTTTACTAAAGCTTTTGCAGGTATATATAAACTTTTTGGCCAACCCTTTCATTTTGTGTTCATCATCTAAATAGAAACTCTCCAGTCACCAGAGACGCAATTTTGGAGTTCGACAACACTGGAAATCTCATGTTGATGGACAGAGGCACCACTGTATGGGCATCAAACACCTCAGAAGCTGGCATTGAGACGGCTGTCATGTCTGAAAATGGCAACTTCATTCTCTACGCCGACAACCTAAGCATTGTATGGCAGAGCTTTTCACATCCATCAGATACTCTATTACCTGGCCAACCTTTAACAGTGTCAGTAGAACTAACATCATCAAAATCGCCTTCCCCCGGAGGTTATTACACGTTAAAAATGTTGCAGCAGCCCACCTCATTAAACCTTGCATTGACCTACAATGTGCCCGAGTCCTATCATATGTCGCCTGAATTGTATAGCAATTATTCTTACTGGTCAGGACCTGATATATCAAATGTGACAGGAGATGTTGTTGCAGTTTTGGACAAAGCTGGAAGCTTTGGTATGGTTTATGGATCGTCTTCGGATGGAGCAGTTTATGTGTACAAGAATGATGGTGATTATGGAGGGCTATTCTCGGCTGTGAATCAATCTAATGATTGGACTAGAGCATCTGTTTTGAGAAGGTTAATTCTTGAGGGTAATGGAAATCTACGTTTGTATCGATGGGACAACGATGTGAATGGATCGAGGCAATGGGTTGCAGAGTGGGCTGCTGTGTCCAATCCATGTGGCATTGCTGGAATTTGTGGCAATGGGATTTGTAATTTAGACAGAAGTAAAACGAATGCTTCTTGCACATGCTTACCAGGCACTTCTAAGGTGGGAAACGATATCTCGTGTTCTGTAAATTCTTTATTGACAAGGAAATGTGGACCTCATCATGAAAATTTGACTTCCCAGTTCAAGATTTCTACAGTTCAACAAACTGCTTACTATTTCTCAGGATCATCTGTTATAGCAAATTATAGTGATATAGAGTCAGTGTCCAAATGTGGGAATGCTTGCTTATCAAATTGTGATTGTGTTGCTTCTGTTTATGGTCTTAGTGAGGAAAAGCCTTACTGTTGGGTCCTTAGAAACTTGGAATTTGGTGGATTCGAGGATCCTGGCTCAACTCTATTCGTGAAGGCTGAGGCTAATGGCTCATTTGGAGTGAGTGGTGACAAACAAACTGGGAATTCATCAGACGAATCGCAGAGTACACGCGATAAAGTTTTGATACTTCCTATAGTCCTAAGTATGACAGTTCTCATCGCGCTGCTCGGTTGTCTGTTATATATCAATATCCATAGAAAAAGATCCTTAAAGAGAGCTCTTGAGGGCTCTTTGATCTTATCAGGAGCTCCGATTAGTTTCAGCTACCGTGACTTGCAACACCGGACTAACAATTTTTCTGAGTTACTTGGAACAGGTAAAGACATGACTATTATTCAGAACCACAGGAAATCAAAACCAAGACAATTGGTTTTCCAATAGATTAAAGGAGGTTTTATCATAACAAGTAACAATGTTAAGTTTGACAGGTGGATTTGGCAGTGTATACAAGGGAAGCCTTGGAGATGGAACATTGATCGCTGTAAAGAAGCTTGGCAAAGTTTTACCTCATGGGGAACAGGAATTTATAACAGAGGTCAACACCATTGGCTCTATGCATCATATGAACTTGGTTCGTCTATGCGGATACTGTTCTGAGGGAACACGAAGGTAAGTAACTCATTTCATTGTAATTTGATGGTTGCATTGTGTCAACTTAGATGTGTAAGTATGAACTGAGCATTTTCTTTTAACAGGCTACTAGTGTATGAGTTCATGAAAAATGGCTCACTGGACAAGTGGATATTCCATTCATATAGTAACCGAGATAGATTACTAGTTTGGCCTACACGTTTTCGCATAGCCATTGCTACTGCACAAGGGATAGCCTATTTTCATGAGCAATGCAGGAACAGAATCATACACTGCGACATCAAGCCAGAGAACATACTCTTAGATGAGAATTTCTGTCCCAAAGTTTCTGATTTTGGACTAGCTAAATTGATGGGGAGAGAGCATTCCCATGTGGTCACTATGGTCCGAGGAACCAGAGGCTATTTAGCCCCCGAGTGGGTCAGCAACCGACCCATAACTGTAAAAGCTGATGTTTACAGCTACGGTATGCTGCTGCTAGAAATTGTTGGTGGCCGGAGAAATCTTGATATGACTTGTGATGCTGAGGACTTCTTTTACCCTGGATGGGCTTACAAGGTACTCACTTGATCAATTATGATAAAGAGAGAAGAGTTTAAGTTATATACACTGACCGTGTAAATCATTTTTACTTTGTTGGTGCAATTTAACCGATTATAGCAGGTTATTACTCTATTTTCCAAGGTATCATATCAGGCTAAAAAATAATTACATGTTGATGTAGGTCAACTTGATCTGATAGTGCAAAAAACGTAAACTCTAAAGGAAACGGGCAATTCCCTTTATATGAATCATAGATTTCCCTTTTTTAAAATTGTAAGTATTGAAAGGGCCAAACAAGTTGTTTATTTGTTTTTCAGGAAATGAGCGAAGGAACGCCAGAAAAAGTTGTTGATAGACGACTTGAAGAAGCAATCGAAAAAGAAGAGGTAATGAGAGCTTTAATGGTAGCTTTTTGGTGTATTCAGGATGAAGTTTCGACGAGGCCTACGATGGGGGAAGTGGTGAAGATGTTGGAAGGATCAGTTGACATTAATATGCCTCCAATGCCACAGACAGTTTTAGAGCTAATAGAAGAAGGCTTAGATCATGTATACAGATCTATGAAAAGGGAGCTCAATCAATTCAGCTCCTTTACTATTACTACTCAACCATCATCTAATGCTACATGCAGTTACTCCACAATGTCACCTAGATAGTTAAAAAAGGTTGAATGGAATAGGAAGTTTTGTTAGGATTATGTAAATGTAAAACCATTGATGTTTCAAATAAGCCAATAGCTTGATGTCAGCTTCTATAGCATAAGCTTTAAGTCCATCAACGAATAATAAACATTTCATAAGAGAAATAATAAGTTTTTGCAAGAGCTAACAAAATTGTGCATTTCAAGTAAAATATACATATGTAGCAAAATTTGCAGAGAATTTTGCATGACCAGTTTGAGTGTATTTTTTTGCCCAGACATAGAGTACCCCTAAGGGACTGTACTTTTCTGAATTTCAATCATATTCTATGCACTTTAAATTTGTGTGGCAAGCTGTAATGGTTCGAGTGTTTGACAGATTTTTGTGAGATCCGTTGCTGGTGAATACTGCATAGTGTAATATGCATTAAATTCTGTCTGAAGCAGCAATTATGAAGTCTTGTCCCAAAATTTTAAAATAGAGAGGCCACATACTGTTGCATTAAAATAATCATATCTGATTATTGAACTATAGTCCATTAATAGATAGGTTTAACTAAGACTGGGCCAAATTTGATACGGGCAGAGATTTTCTTTTTTCTTTTTGCTTTTTTGTTGTTGTGATGACTAGGTTAAATTATGGCTGTGTAATTGTGCTACAACTAATTAAGTACAGGTGTGACGGTCGAAATTCATACTCCATGTGATATCAGTATCTGTATTTAATCTAAAATGCTAGGTCTGTTGCCAATCTTGCTTCAGGATGTTAATAGATTTATTTTACATAAAGACGCTAGTTAATCTTATTATAATAGTTGAGTGAACACGAAATTAAATTGATATTAGCCAGTTAAGACTAGTATGTTAAATATAAAGACTTTGGACGTTTCATTTTCGTGAGTTGATTTAGCAACAAAAATTTGAAGAAAATTATTAGCACAAAAAAGGAATAAGCTTACTCTACTATTATACTTCTAAAGGACCTTATAAGAAAATTTGTGATGTTTCTCCACCTTTAGAATAAGTAAAACACTGACTGCGCTCGACATTCATCTACACAAGCAACCAATCTTAGATACTTCAAAAATTTACACTTAGTCGACCACAAGCTACTGAGACGGGCGGACTATGATTTAATCATCTTCCTCCATATCAATGACCATCCTCAGCCGCCTTCTCGATACACTAGTACCAGGGGCTTCAAGTGAAGCATCATCATCTTCCAAATCAGTCAATTCAGAATGTAATTTGTTATGCAATTGCTGATCGGCCTGATTGACAGGAGGAACATCTTGGTCACTGCTATAGTCAGTCGTTAGGTTTCCAGCATCAACATTATCGTCTGAGGCAGTATTATTAATCTCTGTACCCTCCTCCATTGCAGTAGCTTGATCAAGCTCTCCCCTTGAAATGCCAGACGTTAACATCATGTTAGTTAAGTTGTCAATAACTCAATGCCAATGGATCTAAATTCATGAGATGCTTTTTTGCGGAAAATAAGTCCTAATATGTAAATAGCAAGAAAACTATTTATATCGGAAATGCTGTTGCTGCAATCCAACTGAGCCCAACGGAGAAAATAGAAAGTAATTGTCAGACATTAATGGTCCCTAGATTGTATGTTATCAATTGACAATGCTTAAATATCAAGCTATATATGCCTGACGCCGTCTTTATGATAAATTCAAACAGAAACAGCCTACTTTTTTGCGAAAGGTAACAATTTCTATTTTGATAATAAATCAGCACCAGGTTAGTGCTGATAACAGTATGTACAACTCGAAAAGAGCATTAGAAGAGCACCTGATGTAACAGCTAACTACAAGCTACCTATAAAATCTATCAGGTCTCCTACCTCATTCAAAAATTCTTATTTAGACCAAAAATAAAACAAGACAGCCTACTTCTACACTGTTGTGAATGTAGTTAGATAGCAAAACTTGGTTTAAGAAAAATAACAGGAAGTAAGCGATGCAATTTAGGAAAGTGGACGAGGATGGCAAAAAGAGCTCAGAAGCCTAAGAAAGATGGCATAGTAGTTTTAAAAATTCTCCAGAAAATAGAGAAAGATCCCTAGAAGAAATAGGGATGAGGTGAGTGATTTTATGAGAGGCTCATACTCAATGGGGACACAGAACTGGCATAGTAGTTCTGTAAAGTTCCTAAGCAAAAAGAGGGCTTCCAAAAGAGCAAATAAGATAGGGTGAGTGACTATATAAGAGGCTCATACTAATGGCAGACATGCACTATCAATCGTGGTGCCGGAAAAGGTGACATCAATAACAACATAACTACAGTTTACCTCTCTGAGTCATAAGTATCTTTGTCTTCAATGTCACCTTCGCTGCTGATCTTCCTTGAATTTACAATTAGCTTCCCGTCATGCTGTGGAACAGCTTTTTGAGTTTTTCTGCATCAAATAACATTATAATTCATTGCAATATTTATAGTAATTTTACTACTGAAAGAAAGACAAATGTAATTTAGGATGCTTCATAAACCAACTCAGCGAAATCTACAGTCTACACAAGATTTTGTAATCCCCATGACAAAGTCGGTTCATGTAAAGAAACCCAAACTTGTCCAATGAAAATGCCTCCTTCCCATCCTAAAAATGTGGAGCATGACCTTAGCTTAGACCACATTCAAGCTTCAAGTCAATGAATAGGACAAGTCAAATAGGTAATTTTGATGCTTTGAATTGGTGAAGATCTTGATTCGAACAAACTATGGACCTGAGACAACCGCATGAAGGAATTGTTGCAGTAATTACACTGTAAACACTTGTATATTAACCTGGCCATTCGGAAACTGTACTCCAACAACCAATGCAGTACACCTCCCTACTTGACTTTTTCACCTTTACAGATTGTAAATAAATGGACCAGCCTACATACATTCGTGCAACTTTGGTTGTACCATGCAAATTGGGATATTTCTATCAAAAGTTAAACAGAAACTCTAAAGTGCCTTAGAGGTTTGACCCACGGCTACCTTCACTTAATAATCAAGGATTGTGTTATCTTTTATAAACATAAATCAGAATAAATCCACCATCTAAAGCAGTAAGAAAGGGAGAAGGATGTCCACAAAGACTGTGTTTGTTGATTCTCAAACAAATAACATGTTCAAAGTAATGTAGAAATGATATTTGTATAAAGGGAGGAGGAGGAGGAGAAGGCATATGAAAACATACGTCAATAGCGAGGTCAGCAATTCATCATCAGACTCAACTTCTGATGATTTCAGGTTCTCTCTTCCTTCAGAAGTGCTAGCTTTTCCCTGATATTTGCTCCTGAAACTCCATAAAACAATGAAAGCCCTTATCAAGTATTTGGTGGGAGCACAGTAATTTCAACGTGTTTACCGTTCATCCAAAACATCTCTCTTAGCAAGATGGATGATAATGTTCATTGCTAAGATTATAGTGCTTTTTATCTTCTATCTTACATGCTATTCAGTAACATCACAACCCAACGCAGGATGAGAGAAGGAAAAGGTATCATTAGAATATCTTCTGCCACTATTTTTCAAAAAAAATGCTGAATCAGGGAGAACAGAGAGTACAAGTAATAGTATCTGCAAACTTAATCATACCTTCTTCTCATTGATAACAAAGTTTCATCACCAGAGTTGTCTGAACCTTCTTTAGAAGCATCACCTGCTTCATCCATCAATTGCAGGTTGGTTTCTAACCTTTTCTTTTTGGGGACATACAGGCCAAGTTGCTTAAGTTTTCGTGAAATCTTAGCTGCAGATAAAGTTCCCTCAGGATCAAGTGCATTGGCAATCATGTGGCTGCACCTCTTGTGATCTTTAAACCTTTCATAGTAAAACCACATCATATTATTAGCCTAGATATAAGGAACAGATTTATGAAAGCAAATGTCTCACAAAAAAATCACTTTCTTATTCATTGAACTCACTGCTCGAACAAATCTTTGATCTTCTGTTCCTGCTCCTGACTAAATGCCTGCACTCTCTTTCTAGTGTGCCTGAGAATGAACAGCAAGAATATTTAAATCATGTTCATGAAACATATAAACACAATTGCTTTAAACAGACACTTACAGATGCCTTCTCTGTGAAGTACCCTCTTCTAGTATATCTGAATTTTGAAGTCTGATATCACTTTCTAGATCTTTTTCTTCATTCCCAGGTTTGTCAGGAGCACTAGCATATACTATCTTTTTCCTCCGTGGGATTCTGTATCCTAACTGTTTAAGTGTCCTGGAAATTTGGAGAGGTGAAATCTTTCCATCTGGATCAAGGGCTTCCGCAATGAGATCACAACAATTTTGATTATCTTTATACCTGGAAATCAAACAAAAAAAATCAGATGCTTCAGAACAAAGAGTGGAACCAATATAGAATATTGATTGAAAGAATGATGGAAATGGCAGTTTGCAGTTTTCATTGTTTGAGTCAAATGTTTTGGTTGCTGTTGTATCCTTTATCATGAAACATGCAGTCTGCTAATAATAGAAGTGTGCCAGGTCTGTTTCTCACTGACAAGATTGGTAGACCTTGAAAAGTTAATGGAGGGGGAAGTAGTCCTCCAAAGATAAACTCTAATGCCGATTTCACAACCAATTGCTTTGGGATGGTGTTGCCCGAGGAAAGACAAATGTAAGCTGGAGATAGCAATACCTATTCTAAAAGATCAAATTTTTGCAACATCAGAGGTATATTTAGAGCATAGAGAACATCATTAACAGAAGACATTTATAGAATAGTCAGGAAGAGAGTAAGAAAAGGCTCATCATTTGTGAAACAATATGAGTAGATAGTAGAATACACATTTACGAACTTAGATCTCTTCTTGATCTTATTTTTACAACCAATGACATGTGTAGGTATGCGGCATGCCACCCTTCAGACAATATTATTACTCCACAATTCCCAGATCTACGGCCTAATTTAACTTATCACAAACACTTCCAAAAGAGATTCAACCAGTTACAGGGCAACGCAGACTTGGGAGCTAATCTGGTGCACTCGAGGTATGTGCACACTTCTATTTTATCATTGTAGGATAAAGAGGGTTTCAAACACGCAAATAATAAAATTATATATACGTACCTCTCAAAGAGTTGCTCGACTTTCCGTCGTAACTCATCATTAAGAGCTTGTAGTTTTCGTCTTTTAGGTTCCCTCTGAGACTCTTGTTCAGCTGACTGCTCCTGTCTGCAATAAGAAAAACAATAAAGATGGCTATACTGTGAAATCAAGAAGAGAAAAAAAGCATGAATGAGGATCATACTTTTCCAAATGTCGTTTCTGATTCATCACATCATTTCCATCATTTGAAATTGATGTAGGACTTTCCTCTCTCTCTAGCAAACTTTGGTTACTCCTATTTGTGACCTCTGTGTTGTTTCTGCGAACAGCACTGAATTAAAAGATTCTGTTGGAGGAAAAAAGTTGACTTGGCACTTTATCTTAACAATAAAAGACCTACAACACTGTCAAATGCTATTTTAACTTTCTTTTAGTAGGAATGATCAATGTCAGAAAAAGAGAATATCTCCAAAATTAGAAGTCAAACAATTGATGATCCAAAAACTTGGATTAAGTTTATGAGGTCTGTCACCAAAATAAATTCAGTCTAAATAATACAGAATTCAACATATGACATTCTTGGTTTCTTTGATTCAAGCACTATGGCATTCAGCAAACCACAATAGCACCCTTCCAGTATTAGTGCAAACATCTTACCTGACAGCCTCTGAAAAAGGTAATGGAAAATCAGCTTCATCATCACCAAGGGCATCAGCTATACTTCGGCGGATCCATCCATTTGCTTCAGATGAGCCAATTTCACCAGTCATGGAAACACCGGAACTATTTTTACCATCTTTCTTAAATTGAGATAGCTCCTTTAGCATGGAATCACAATTGAGATAATGACACTCTCTACGAGATTTCCAGAAGAGAACCTCTATGAAAAGTAGGGGATTACTCTTCATTTTGCGCAACATTCTCCTAACTAAGTTTGTCAAAAAGAAGACAATGTTCTCATATTCTCTGCAAGGCCTTGACTTCTGCTCCTCTAGAATGTCATAGAATGTGGTGAGGAGAGATAGCTGTATATCAAGCAGAAAATATTAAAAATGAGATCTGCTACTTAAGCTTCACATTAATCTTGTTTCAGATAGAAACATAAAGTTTTCAATAAATTACCTGGTATAGCATGGGCGAAAGTTCGAGATCATCGCATAGTTTTTGTAATATGCATATCACATAATTATTTGTAATAATGGAGTTGCTCTTGTAATACTTTAGCAACCAACAGAGGTTGTGAATGGTGGAGTTGTTTGCAAGAGCAGAGACCAAGGCAGATATCTTGAGATCATCTTCCGCAGTTAACACATTTTCATCACCAGAAGAATCATCTCTGCCTTGATCATACTCGTCATTAACATCATTAGAAAGTTTTTGTTGTGTCTCCGGCACAGAGTTCTGGTGTCTTCCTGACTTAGTTTCAAGAGATACAGGATGATTAAGCTTATCTACGACTGTGATATTTTCTTCTCCCTTTCCACCTGCATGAAGATTGTTTGACTTTTCACATCCAGAGCCTGCAGCATTATTTTGAGCTGTATCAGTACTCTCAACCATTTGATCTTCGTTCACCGTGGTACAACCCGTGTCTTCATCAACCTTATTGGAGTCTATGGCATCTTCTCCATTGTGAGCCAATCTGGTATCTATAGATTCATGACTAGAGCCGCCAAAACCTATCCCAAAGGAGGCTGAATCTCTAGTCATTTCATCATTATCCTTCTTGTCAACTGTAACTGTTGTCTTCGGTCGTTTCTTCCTCAACTTTTTGGAAATCTACAAAAAAATAAATCCTTTTAAATCAATAGATGTCAGTTGCTGAAGCAAAAAATTGTCGTCGGATAAACTATATTTAGCATCCATGGAACTTAAAGCACTAATGAAATATAGATCCTGCTGTGGGCATACTGAGCCAAACTTATGCGCTTTTTCTGACATAGCAAGATAACAAACATGATTCTTCATATATATCATTCCCTATTGTATTGGTAGGATGATGGGGGAATGGGGTTGGGGAAACAAGCATTCCTTACATGAGACATGAGAGAGTCATTCAAAATAAGGACACATGTCGAATGTTCTCTATTTCATTCGCTTTTGGTGACACCACTACTGCAGATACATAACGTTACGACTAAATTCAGCTTCAGTATTTCTACACAAGGTAGCTAAGCATAATTCTTTGTAATGCTCCTTTGAGCGCAAAAGAACTGAGATTCAGAATATGCCTTCAATTGTGCTCCCAAGTAATTCATCCCCACAAAGTGTGGTACTAAGATAAGAATTTCCTTAAGCTAAAGGACCAGAATTTTTCACTCAGTAAAGCTAAAGTATCATTGCGAGCATATTAACACTGGTTAACAATAGAAATTTCTGAGACTAACAGTAGAAAAATCATCACTCATATGTCCTATATCTCCCGCTTCCCCACTGTAAATAAATTGATAAATACACACTTACTATATATATACACGCACAAACGTGTCCTTAAGTGCATGACTCAATATATTCCAAATCCAACTTGAGACATTCAGGTCTAGAGTAAAAGAGTTAGCCAGAGATGCACCATCCAAAAACAATCGAAACTATTTTAGTTCATCCCCTTTACATAAGGTTGCTTCCATTCAAAAAGAGCTGACATGTGAATCGGTAATAGTCTAGAACCTAAATGCCACACCTCTCCAGAACTCCAAATTTACCCCATAAACCTTCTCTTTTACTCTCTAGACACACAAGTCCAAATCTATCATATAAAAATAAAGGAACGGCTTTACTTTAGATATAGAGAACATGGGTCAAGGTTGCTGCTATCTTGTTGTGGTTCACTTCTCCATTATATCTTTACTGCAGAATGTAGATCTGACTGAATGAGCACTCATACGATCTCTCTCAAATCCAAACAAGGTGTTTTTTCTCCGATTAAGTTTTTCACTTCATACAAACATCTACTTAGTAAGTATCTTCTGGAGAATATGAGCATTTGAAGTTTGATTACAATAACAACATGCCACTATTCCGGAAAGGATAGTGTGTACACAGACCTTACCCCTACCTTATGCAGGTAGAGAGGCTGAAGTTTCATTACAAGTGACTGAATCATTCAAGATAACAAATATAAAATTCCTTAGAAATAAAAACAAAATTTATTTCTTAATGAAAAATTCAAATACAAAAGTTATCAGGGAATACCCTTAATGAACCACGTGCTTGAAGGTTCTCCATCAGCTTTATAACTAAATTGATAATTTCTACCAAATCAGCAAGGTAACTGGCAATAATAGATTTGAAATATTAGCAAGAGAAGATTATATAGGCTTCAAGGTTAAAGATCCTTTTTGGCCAATCACACAAACAACATTGCATTAACCTGATAAATTGCAGGTAGTCAAAAAACAGCAAAAAGTGCATTTTGATTCATGCTGACATGATTTTATGCTTGGTACAGTGGAATTTAGAAGCCAACAAACAAACTTATCTCATAGACCCTTCGTCAAAACATGGTTTATAGTTTCTACGTAAAGTTTTCTGCAGCTAAGAAAATTCTAGAATAAAGCTTTTCTGACATGGATCAAAAAATTTATAGTAGTTATCAACAAGGAATTATATTTTAAAGTTTAAACTGTTATGAACAGACCCGATATTGCTTCACCAGAAGGTTAGAAATGAAAGCAAGTATTTGAGCAGAGTCCAGCAAACTATTGCAGCATATTTTATCCACAAAGATGGCTTTACTATGGCAGTTGAATATATTAATTCAAAATAAGAGTATCCTTCACTGCGTAACACCTATTAAGATCTTCAATGAGCTAATCCCTCTGTCTATTTGCAGAAATTGGCTTCAACATCAAGCTAAGCTTTTCCACCTAATAAATTATAAGTTGATTTGCTCTTCATCCATAATGCAATACTGGATGTCACTAATGAACTTGGCTGAGGCATCACATTTACTGCATCCCCTAACCACTTATCCTAATTTCAGGAATGATATAGTTCATTAATACAGATCATTTAAAAAAAAAAACTTGTGAGCTAGAAGGGAGACCTTTTCGCTTGCTTATGGGTATCAAACGATTTGATCTGGTTCAAGAGAAACTGGGTCATCCCTTCATCAGTTTGATCGTAGAATAACTTGTAAAGAAGGATTCGAGCTGTTTGATGCTCCTTGGAATCTTCAGGAGACTGCTTAAGCACCATCTCCAGCATAAGAAGCTGCCAACCAAAAACAGTAGTCAGAGAAGGATCCCAAAGTTCGATTCATATCATAACACCAAACATACTAAAAAAATCCTTAAGCTGAAGCTGATATTGAAGCATCATAAATAACAGCTTTTGGGCTGGGAAACACTGGGTACTGCTAGAGGTGTGACAAATCTCATTTTATTTTGTTCTATGAATCCATCTCCTACAATATGCATATTAGACCTGTTTGACCATACAGAAGCATCTCATGCTTTTCTTCAACATTAAACGCTAAACTAAACCAAGAGGAAAGACAAAACTTTGAGGAAAGTCATGATCACCATAGTTTTCATAAGAGATCCTGCCACATAGAGAAATTTGCGATCGTTTGTCTCCTTCAAGGTCTCAAGTGAATAGCGCCATCTCAAAAGAACCAGCTGGAACATTGATTCATTTAAAGACTCGGCAATAGGACCACATATACAACCTCTGAACCATGTGCTATCAGTTCTAGAATCCATCGGTTCTTGGGTATCAGCTTCTTCGTTAGGCTGATCAAGTAAGAGAATCAAGAGAAGATTGAGATATGGGATGACAAGGATAAAACAAGGTAAATGGAAACTACTTACTGAAATTCCAACAAAAAAGAAAAGCACATAATTAGTTCGACAAAGAATTTTCCAAGAGCCAGTACCATTTACTATTACATCTTCACACTTCTCTTTTAAGTGTTTCAACTCTAATAATCAGACACCAGACCTAAGTTGTTACAATTAGATACCCAATGTTCTGAGTATGAATATCTTACTTCTCCACATTCTAGATAGCTTCATATTTGGACATAGATCAGCAAACTAGTATTATCCAGAAATGATGATTATGATTCAAGAAGCTTGCTACAAATGAAAGAGGGGTCTACAAAAGTTGTTTAGCTGGTAAATGCGTATGCATTCTCTCTATAGCAAACATTAGCCGTTGACTGCTCAGTCAAACTTCCCAATGCAAAAATTTCACTGCATAATGATTTTATTAGTTCAACTCCTTACTGATTACAAATGATTAAATGAATTAATAAATGTCACTAACTATTCAAAATCTGATCAATAACGTGAAAGGACTCAGGATCCACATTATAACTGTCCTAAATTCGTTTTAACCCACAACATAATACTACGTATCCCGGGCCTAAATTTGCTCTGTTAGATGGGTTTTCACCGTCCGGTAACAAAAATATTTCCCTACTTGTTGACAAGTTTGGAATCGAAACCCGTTTAAACAGTCAGGCATCACTGGAGATCATAGAAAGCTGATCAAATGCTTCAAAATGTAAATATTCCTCAGAGCAAGTAAGCCCAAACTTAATTATTTTCTCTCAGTTTCTAGCAACTGCAGTAACTATTAAAGAGGGAGGATAAGAGTAACTGTATGGAGCACATTTACAGATATCCAGACACACCCAAACCATGCAACATCACTTGCACAGAACGTTGCTTACCTGATTCAAAAACTTGTGGTACTGAAAAGAAGTAACAAATTGAGCAACCTGAAAGAAAATAAGAATATCGCTATTCTGAATAGCATGATGTTCTTTTTCAATGTCATCACGAACTGACTGCATCAGAACTGAGAATAGAAAAATGAGTAGTGCCATAAGAAAGAAAGAAAGAAAGAAAGAAAGAAGCAAACAAAGCAAAAGCAGATGCATCATTTAACCACATATCTTACCGTTGTATCCCCCTCCTAGGAACTGGTTAATAAAATCATAAAGCAAATTTAGAATCTTGTTCTTGGTTGCTGGTAGTCTTCCTTGGTCCCACACGGTCCTTTTTGCCGGACCTCGATGCTTCTTGTGAGCTATTATCAAGGGGTCATGAGAAACGGAGCAAGGATTGCCCTTAATTAAAGTTTTAGAACCATCCTGTTAAATTAAAAGGTTAACATTAGTACTATTACAAACTACCATTTATTAAAACCTAGTACACCATCAGTCCTAGTGTAGAAAATAGCATTTCTTTATTCGGGAGGATAAATTACCAGGGAAAACCGTGTAAAAGTTCCACTGAACTGAGAATAGCAACCCAGGTTTCGTTGTCTGATAACTTTTCTCTTTTCACGTTCTTCTTCCATTATATCTTTGAGAGAGTTAATTGAAATATCACTATCTTCATCCACCTGATGAACAAAATCAACTTATGAATCAGAAACCAGAGAAGGGGGACCAACTGTCTTAAAAAAGCTTCTTCACAATATGAACTAGTCCGGCTTAGAAAAAGCATCAAAAAAGCTTGCAGAAAAGCATATGTGCTCTACTTGATGAAGGCTTCCACCAAAATTTCAAACATTAAATCTATTCTTAACAATGGAAGAATTTTCTTCTAAAGGCCAAATGCTGCTGAACTGCTTAAGGCTGTATTTTGGTCCGGGCCCAGTCCGGGACCGGCCCGGGACCGCGGGCCAAACGGGCCCGGTCTCTAGTGATGCAAAAGCCCACAGTGGGCCGGTCCTTACCAAAAAGCCCGCGAGCCTGGGACCGGCAGGCAGGCCTGGGCCAGTTCAACCGGGCCCAACGGCTATTTTTTTTTTAAAAAAGAATTTTTTTTAAAAAGGGCCAACGGTCAGAATTTTAAAATGTAGCTGTTGGCCTGCATTTTTAGCCGTTTGGCACTTTCAAAAATAGCCATTTGGCCCTCAAACATTGTTTTAATCCCAAACTTTTTATAATTACACTTTTTCCCTATTCTCAACTATAAATACCCCTCATTCTTTCATTTTTACTCACAAATTCATCAATCTCTCTCATTTCTCAAACTCAAATTGAAGTATTCAAGTATTAACTCATCTCTCATTTCTCAAACTCAAATTCTTAATTCAAGTTAAATCATGCCCGGTGATTCTAGATTGCACCCATTTGTTTTGGAACACTTTAATGTGGTAGAAGAAAATGAAGCAGTTTACATAATAAAGTGCAAGAACTGTGGTCGAGTCTACACTCGTCGTCGAAAGGAGGGCACATGCTCTTTAAGGAGGCATATAAAGAGTTGTCTTGTGCGTTCTCCAGACATTCGTATTTAAGATTTTAAGTTGATTTGAGACAATTTGTGTTATTTTAAAATTATTAGACGTATTATGCTTAATGTTCTAGTTTGTTAGATTAATTTGAAGTATTATGTTGAAGGTATTGAACTTTAATTTGAAGTATTAAATGTAAACTTTAATTTGAACTATATCAATAGCTTTATATATATATATATATATATATATAAGGCACTATATATATCTCTAATACATATAAACTATATATATAATTATATATACATACTATACATACTATATATATTTATATAGCTATATATAAGCAATTTATATTAGTATATACATATATAGTTTACAAGAAATTACCTTAGATAAAAAAAAATTAAAAAAAATAGCCCGGAACGAAAAAGCCCGTTAGGCCCGCGGGCACGGCCCATTTAGCCCGGGACCATGTGGGCTTAGGACCGCAGTGGGCCGGTTCCACTCATTTGTCCCGTTAAGCCCGGGACCGCCTCAGCCCGGCCCGCCTAAGCCCAGGCCCGTTTGGCCCATTTAGGCCCGGGCCCGGACCACAATACAGCCTTAGAACTGCTTATCAGTCTCGGGATACACAATAACTTCTTAGTTCTCATGATTAGAAAGGAAAAGACAGGCCAATAAGTATATAACTCACAAGGCAAAGCAATAATTCCTTGTTATGCTTCTCAAAAAGTTATAGATTCGGTCTCTTCACCTCACTGATGCCCAGGAGCAATGTTTAAAACTTAAATAGGACATGACAACAAAATTCGGAGATCTTTCATCTTCTATGAGTACAACTACGCCTCGAATCCCCGCTAGTTGGGGTCGGCTATATAAATTTAAATAATTAAGTTGCTCCATTAGCTCCATAGCAATCCAAAATTTGAAGATTTAGATTCTCTACTATTACAAGTTTTATACATTTTCCACTAGAATACAAGTCTCTAACAAGACTAAAAGACTCCTAGCAAACTATACTTCAATCACAACTAATTTGTATCATCTATTTGGATCTTTTTCTTTTATTATGTCCTAATATGTGCTAAGAATGCGTGGATTCTTAGAGATTGTAGGTCATTTAAGACAATCATTCTATATGATTTAAGATTTACCTCTTCCCATTTTAAGATATTTAATCACCATGTTTTCAAACCTACGGATCAATGTGTTTGGAGTCTGATGTTGGACATGACCGACCTATCTCAACCAGCCTTCTCTCATATTATCCTCCATGTGTGCTACTTGCACCTTCTACCTAAAGAAATCATTTATAATCTTGTATGACCGCACATCAATCTTAATATTCACACATGCAACATTTATTTCGATAGGTATCCTCCTACATAACATTTTGTAAGAAGTGCTTTTCATTTTGATAGGTATCCTTCTATCGCATAACATTTTGGTACCACTTCCCCATTTCAACCATCCTATTTTGATTCTATGTGTAACATCTTTATCTCTCAGAACGTCTCCTACTAAATCATACCTAGATATCAATAAAATATTAAGATTGTATAAAAAATCATTTAGGTGAGTGCTCCGTTTCATCTTATTGAAAATATCCCTACGTCCAAATGTACCTATCAGCTCTTAATGGATGTCAAACACCAAAATTGAATTGTGTAACGGTGTTAAAAAAGTGTACTAGTATAAATGACATGTTTGCAAAAAGAAAAAGCATCTCTTTTTTCTTTCTCCATGGAAGTGTTGTCAACCAAAATTTCCTGCATATCCCACTTTTCATATAGCATTTTGGCCATAACAAGATCAGTCCAATTTAAAGTTCTATCTCTAATCAAAATTACAATTTTATGTAGAAATGCAAAAAAAAAAAAGGAAAAAAGAAAATATAAAAAAATAAAAACAGAAAACAGTAGACAAAATTGGACTCAAATAGTGGCCATTAATGATACTGTAAAAAACTAACCTTTGCATCCTTGAGATGTGCTTTAGCAATCAACTCCGGCAGCTGACCCATGAATATATAATAGAATGTCTCCAACAAAAGCAAATTATCATGACGGAGATAGGTACAAGAGCCACCAACATGCTGTGATAGAACTAAGATGACATCCATTACATTCTCTTTAAACAAGAGCTCTAGAAACCTGTCTCTGAGAAATGCAAATTCTGTCATCGAACCACCAGATTTCTGCTGGGTTGATATGTCTTGAATAGCCAAAACATTACGGAATAAACTAAGCACCAACTGCACCATTTTCCAGTCATCTTCTGTGAAGGCCTCGCTGTTAACATAGTGAGACAAGTTTGTAACCAGATTAACAACATATGAATTCATGAAGAAGAAGCAGCTATCATATATAAGATTAACATTCTTATATGAAGTACACCAAAGCCAATGAAAGGACTATAACATGTCAGCCCAATTTTATACATCTGTTCAAAGGAATTTTACATATTTATGCACAAACAAAGATATGAAGCCAGAAGATGATTGCAGTTACCAAGCCAAATTTTCCAATGGGCTTTCCAAGAGAGACATTATCACCGGCACGGCATCACTATAGGTAATTGATGACTTTACTCCCCAAAGAAGCTCTATCTGTTGCGGTATGTCATGTGATGTAGGATCAATGGGCATCGTTAGAAACACCATAACCTTTACTGTAAAATGAGATGGAGAGCAAAGGCAGACGAAATTAATGAAAACAACAAATTTCATGGTTACCAATATAAAATGAAATCGATAAACTAAAGTAAGATACCTGCATTTAACAGCAGATTTCGGTCATCTTGACAGTACTCAATAATAGGAATCAAATCTTTGCCCACAATATTCCATTTACATACTTGCTTGAAAACTTCTCTTGTTTGAGGGTCATCTCGCCTTAAAAACCTCAATAAATCCTTCAAATTATCTGCCAGGGAACAGGATAAAAAATAACCAATTAGACATATAATTTATGCACTAACGGTGTACAAGAATTAACATAATCAGGTTACTAGGTAACTCTATTTAATACATTTACTGATAACCTAAAATAAAGGTAAATAACCTTCTATAACAGTTAAATTACACTGATAGTGTGAAAGATTCATTACATTGTCAGTGTATGTAACTCAAATCCTTAGACAAAACCATAAAACGTGACATCCATTTACTAACGTTACAGCCCCTACACTAACAGAAAATAATATGAAGCTAGAAAAACAGATTAATTTTAAGATGATAACTTTTTATCAATTAATCAATCACCTATACCTCAATCCTAAACTAGCTGAGATCGAGTATGTGGATCATATGTATTCATTTCACAATTAACCACAAAAAGTTAAAGAGAAATATAAAAATGTAGAAAGCAAGGTGAACAAACCTAAGCAGTACTCTCCTTTGGAATAGCCAATTCGATTAGCATCGTCGTCCTCTTCAATGATTCCGAGGCCAGCGCATATCGTTGACAGCCCTTCCATTGATAATGAATCTTCTTTTTTTTAGGTAGACTTTCTCGATTCAGGTATAATTGGTGTCAAAAAGGATCTGGTGTGAAGCTTGACTGGTAATTCTGGAAGAAATTGTGGATCTTTTACGAACTTGATGAGTAATAAGTCTTAGGGTTTTTTATGGCGCCAAAGGGGTATCTGAAAGTTTTTCCCGCGCTTTAAGAAATCTACGTGGTAACTGGAGCAAGGATAAGCTGTTGTCAGGACCACCGAAGAAGTCGAGTACCTGTGACGTGGCAGGCCTTCATTTGATCTTATTTTTTTGTTTGGTTTCTTTTTTCTTCTCTTTTTTTTTTTTCTGATGGCAAACACCGACGGCCCTTCCATAAAGCAAGTAAAGCAACTACATTAGACATCACATTTGTGGGGGCCTCATTTTTTATTAACCTAAAAAACTATGTATAAGTTTTAAAAAAGATTTTGTGAAGTGAAAAGGTTTGATTTCTTTCTTTAACAAGTATAGAGGAGAAGGATTTGCAACTGCTATGATTTCTGCCACGAAAATGGCACTTGAAATGAATATCGAACTCGAATTTCGTAAGAAACGTATGATATATAGGAAGTAATAATTTTATGAGAATGTTGATAATAAAATCTCAAAACCTTTCGAAGAGTCCTTCGGAGCTGATTACTTTATACATAGTACTATAGTAGATAAGGCTATTTTTTTCACTTCAAAATAGATTTGAACATTTCGAAGTATATGAAATATTTTGATTTTTATTTAGCGGTAAAAATTAAGATCACTAGATGATGGAAATTTGAAAAAATATTGCCTTAATCTTGAATGTTCCTTAAAGCACAATAATCAATTCGATATTGATGGTTTAGATTTATTTTCGGAATTAAAAATATTAAGAAAAATAGTACAATTAGAAGATAACAGTTTAATTGATACACTCGGTCAAATAAAAAAATTTGATTCTTTTTTCAATGCCTACATTACTTATGGAATAATGTTAATAACTCTTGTTATCGTCGCTTCAGCGGAAAGAAATTTTCAAAATTAAAATTGATAAAATCTTACCTAAGATCGACAATGTCTCAAGAAAGGTCAAATGGATTAGATAAATTGTCAATTAAGAAAGACTTATTAGGAGTTATTGAGTATAAGAAATTTATTAATAACTTTGTATTGAAGAAGCACTAGAAAAATGGACTTCAAATAAATAAATAAATAAAATTTCAAAAAAAACTAAGGCCTCTCATAAAGTTTGGCTTCAGGCCACAGAACTCTTGATGGCAAAGACCTTAAACGGAGGAAAATTAAAGAAATCCTTTTAAGAATTAGAATGACCCTAACAATAATTATAGTACAAGTTTTTTTCCCTTTATATCAAATCAAATATTTCTTTTCTAAATCCCTAGCTCATCTTCCTTTATGTAATCTTATCTTATATGGAGTAGTACTTTGTAACCTTTTTTTTTTTCGGACGACAGCAAGGTCTGGAGTAAACAGAAAAGGGCTAGGTTGAGTAAGGTGAAAATTAAATTTTCGCATTTGGTATGTTAATTAGGTGTTTTGCTAGTGAATTGTAACTTAATCGTCTAATAAGTAAGTATTACTTTAGTTTGATTTGAACAAATTGCAAAATAGCTTACTACTTATTTTCGGTTGAAATATGAGTTGCTAGGAATTTGACATCCATTGACATACACAGGAACCGACGATAATAATTCAAGCAAAATATGGTTTGATTCAAAATTGAAGAGAATGTAACTTCCAACAGACCTCTACTATTAAGAACCACAAAACATAAAGAAAAAGAGAGATTCAAGCAAAATATGGTTTGATCCAAAATTGAAGAGAATGTAACTTCCAACAGACCTCTACTATCAAGAACCACAAAACATAAAGAAAAAGAGAGAGGAAAGAATAAAACAGGTAGAAGTTAAACAATCTGCAACAAGCACAATACAAATGAAAGGCTATGGAAGTTAGGGAGAGATTGTTAATTGTTTTTCTTGGGCGTAAATGCGATTGTAGAAGATAGCTAAATCTGGAAATTTAGATTTCCGATTTTTATGCTATATAATCTCGGCTGAAGCCAAAAGATGCCAGATGTGCAAACTGATGTTCTCTCTTGTTTTCCCGCATAAATGTTTAAAAAATAGGTACGCATCATCAGAAGTAATTGGATTAAGAACAGTACGCATCAGAGCTTCTTTTCTAGTTATACCTGTGTTAAGAGCGTGTATATCACTTTGAGATATTGCAGGTACTAGGACGAGCTCAAATTTCACTACTTATCTGTTTAATGGACCAATTGCAGGTTTTTGGTAATCAACGCAAATGCTGCTTCTTTACATCTGTTCCGGAAGAAAAATGAGTTCTCATTCCAACATTTTTCTCATTCAAAAATCACATTCAACTGCCAGTATCATTGGTGTCTAAGAAAAAAAAACATAACTTGGTATCCTAGGTCACAACATAACGAAGCACGAGGCAGATACAATAAATAGGACTCGAGCAATCTTGCACAAAAATTCATGTAACACCACCGACTGAGGTATATTTCCACTGAAAGGTTGAAGCGTCAAGCGTCCAACACTAATAATCCTAAGCTGGTTCCAGGCTTTTCATCTGTCTAAACTTTTCTGACCTGGATATTGTGAGTAGATTGGAGCCGCCAGATTGGCTGTCTGCCACTCTGAACAAGGGCTACCTGCTCTCCTTCCTTCACCATCCCTTGCTTCTGTAGATTGAGAATGGCATCAGATATAGCAGGAATACAACTGTAGTAAAATGATAGTAATAACATACTTGCAACATAAACATTCAGATCACATCCATACAGGATAATCTCATGGATGAAGAGAGGAGTATAACTAGTTAATTGAATTGATTGTCTGAATTATCATTTTTTTATAAGGTAAATTTGATTGTCTGAATTATCATTACAAGATTGTTTTTTAATTACAAATCATGGATACTAGCAGCCATAAACATAACAACTCAGCCATTCTTCTGTGACCACCACATGAGTTCAAGCATCAGTTATTAGCATTGCTTATTAGCAAATAACAACTCAGCCATTCTTCTGTGACCACCACATGAGCAACTTCAAGCATCAGTTATTAGCATTGCTTATTAGCAAATACCAATGCATATACTGTGGATTAAGCAATAATGAAAAATGATAATATGCTGAAGGTGAATCTTACCTGCAACAAGGACAATGCATTAGTGAAGGTCTCCTCTGCACCCTCTGAAAACTCCATATATATTGGACATACGCCTTGGTACAAAGCCAGTCTCTGTTGAACTTTCTTACTGCAACCCAATTATGGAACAAATGATTAAAATTCACTTACTTCATAGAAATTATTCACGAAGTTCTCAGATTTCCCTCAAAACATGGACATACCAAAGATGGCAACTAATTAAACCCAAGTTGCTTAGGTACTGAAACAGGAGCTTTATTATCATAAAGAGAACGCTATATACGTTTCCTTAGGTGTCTTAAGATGTGTTTAACCCATTCATCTTCTACAGATCAATTACCGGTATCAAGGTGTAACCATAGCGAGTAGTGCTCATTCAATAGTAAAAGCAATAACAGTGCCAGAAGGATAATAAATGGCTCGTTGTAATGGTAATGAAACCAGTTCAGGTGAAGAAGTTTGTTTTCAAATATTGACATCAAAGATAGACCAACAAGGTGAATACTCACTCATTTGTAAAAGCAAATATAGTGCCACAAGGACGATAATGGCTCAGTAAGATGGCCATGAAACCAGTTCTAGTGAAGACAACAATGGAGGTTCCAAGAGTGTTGGACATCATCGTTGCATGGAAAGCAAACATCTCACTCATATGGTTCTGCAAAACAAAAGAAAGTTTTGGTAAGTATTAGCTCCTTTAGAAAATTTACTTTCAAGAAAAAGTTGGAGGTAAAATATGTCATCTACCTTGAAGGCTTGGCCTAGATTTGGAGGGGTTTCACCACCAACAATAGTAGCTTCAGTCCGTAGCGACACAGTGTGCATAACTTTGACAGCTTTCAAGGGAAACCTGTAACCAAATGAATTTAACTTGTTAGAGATGCTGACAGGTTATTAAGACAATTTCTCGCCACCCAAAACCATTAGATTCACAAAATAGGATCCCAGAAAAAATACTTATTACTCATGAAAGAACCTTGACCAGTGTCTTTTATTATAAAGCAAATATTGGCGGTTAATCGATTCCAAAACTAAGATCTCCCATTTGCCTTGACATACCCATAGATGTGTTACATTGTGTAGGTGTGACATGGGTAAACTGCATAAAAGCATACCGCACATGTTGACACACACCCAAAATTCCATGTAATAGGCCCTAAGTTTAAAGAGAATATTATAACACCTTGAAAAGTAACTTACTTTCCATGAGCTGTTTCTCCAGAAAGCATAACAGCATCAGCACCCTCTCTAACAGCAATCGCAATATCTGATACCTCTGCTCGTGTTGGGGTGGGATGGACAATCATGCTTTCCAGCATGTTGGTAGCAACAATGACAGCTTTTCCCATACTTCGGCAAATGTTGATGATTTCTTCCTGCATATTATGATATTTCAAGCAAAGGAAAAACAGAGAATACATGGCTAAGACCTCTTACGAAATGGTAAAAGCTGTCCAGTTTTGCATTCTTGCGGTAGAATCTACAGCTACTCCGTTATTGACCTTTACCTGTAACAAAGGAACCTCCTCAATAGGCAGCTCTGCCCCAAGATCTCCTCTTGCAACCATTGCCTGAGCATAACAATAAAAACCATTAAGTTGGGTAATTAGATGTCTATCAAATAAAGGACAGAAGACACAAGCTACGATCCAGGACAAACATGCAAGCAGGTAGTCCACAAAAGGCGGTTAAAGGTTTCCAGAGGAGTACAAACTACATTGAAGTCTAAGAACCGGTAAAACAGATTTCGATACTGTATCTTGTAGCTGCATGCAAAGCATAGGTGAGGTGAGTTTGCTGCAGGTACACAGCTGACAGCCAGCATAAAGATAGCATAATAATGAAGTATCCTTTGCATAGGGCCTGAATAGAGCGGAAAAGATATAGAAGAGCCGACCCCTCGTTTGGCATTGAGGGTAGTTGATTCATTGATTCTTGCCAGCCAAAACTCTTAAAATCCTCGTAATCTTTAGGACAGAGAAAAAGGAGGAAGAAGCTCAACCATTCAAGTATAATTGGTGGTTTCCAAAATGTTGTAGACAGCTTCAGTGTGTGCCAATTCATCAACCAAGAAGAAAGGAAATACTACCAGCAAGATATTTGATCTGACACCAAATCTTTTCTAGCAATAAACCAGCAACATAAAGGTTTAGAGAATTACCCCATCTGATGCAGTAATTATTGAATGCAAATTTGGTATGGAGTCTGCACTCTCAATTTTCACAATAACATGAATATCTGCACCACAGCCTGTCATATCAAAAACGAAAAAGGCTAGTCAAAGGATGTTGAAACAAAAATGGATAAGCACTCATTGGCACTTTCAGTGCTCACTAAAAAGAAATGGACCCAATGGGATTACTCTTCAAATAATTTTTCAGTTCATGGACCACTGCTGCATCTTTGACAAAGGAAACAGCGTAAAAGTCAATTTTGTTGTCCACTCCAAACTTGATGTCATCCCAATCCTTTTCTGTTGCACAATGAGGATTACTGTATTAGCAACGCAAGGAACTTTCTGATGGAGTAAAAGTTTCATGCTTTCACATGCAGATAGACATGAATTTATAGACAAAAAAAGTAGTCTGACCAGTAATAGAGGGAAGTGTGGCACTTTTCCCTCGAACATTTAGATGTCTCCTTGATTTAAGTTCCCCCCCATCAACAACTTCACACTTCACAGATTCTTCTGTCTTGGATGTCACCTGTAAAGACATCATGCCCCCTATAACAGAAAAAAACTACAATTATCTTAAGTCTGCAAAAAATTCAGGTATATCTATCATGAAAAATAGACACAAAAAGAACAGTAAAGTATCACTTGAGTCATGCCTATTATATGGTACTTTACCTTCCCCTCAAAAGACTAGCATTACAATAAAAAATGTTTGATGTGACCATGCTATCGCCAATTCACCAACAACAAAGGTAAAAGAAGGTGCCTAAGTTATAGCAATTTGGTCTCTCAATGGCTGAATGTTTTTTAGCATGTTTGTACGGACCCTTATACAGGACATTTACGCAAGTGCAACAGGGAGATGTGCCATAACACTAGCAGGTGGATATAAAATATCAGCAAAGACAGGCCATCCAAAGGGCTCAAATGATAAATCTCTAATTCAAATCAAGTATGAAATGTCTCTGTTTCATTAAAGGAAATCAAAGCAAGCACAAAATCAAGAAAAGACATATTCCTACATTGGACAACACGAGGAATCAGCTAAAATTGTGCCAATTATTTTAAAGGCAACGGTCAAAAGAAAAACTAAACAAAATAGAAACAAAAAAATTAAAAAGAAAAATCTGGACTGCAACTAGGTGAGAAGGATGCCTATTCTTTTTTCTTTTTTGGTTTTGGAAAAATGAGATGGCTGCGTCTTAGTGAGACAAAGTTTACTGCTTCACATAATGAAACTCCACAGCAAAAACTTCTCATAGAGGCAGTCACCTGCTAGGCCTCATATTGCCATGATGACTCAATCTATTTTCGGAAAAATGAGATGGCTGCGTCTTAATGAGACAAAGTTTATTGCTTCACACAATGAAACTCCACAGCAAAGACTTCTCATAGAGGCAGTCACCTGCTAGGCCTCATATTGCCAAGATGACTCAATCTCTGGACCTCTAAGGAGTCATTTTTATTACAGAGAGACTTCTAGTTTATTATTTAGTTCACTTTGTAGTCCATGAAACGAAAGTTGTGTTCCTCACACCCTCCACCCTGCTGATTTCTGCAAATGTACAAGTATACCATATTGCAATCACAAGTGGTGAAAGAGATGGGAATAAGAATGCAATGGGAACAACTAGATAACCTCCATGACTTTTTCCCTACTGACACGTTAACAAAATGTCTACGGCACAATATTTCATGTCAAGTCAAAATGAGGAATCATGTTGTCAATTTCAACGCCTTCCAATGACAACACGATATAAGATGTTATCAGACGACATAGTAAAATGGAAAAGAAACCCACTTCACATACCATCAACGAGAAGCATGTCTCCTACTTCAACATCATTTACAAAGTCATCATAGTTGACACTGACACAATCAGCTGTGCCCACCCCTCTCTTAATTGTGAAAGTGAATTCCTGTCCAGGTTGCAATGTGATTGGTTGGGGCAAGTCACCACTTCTAACCTCAGGACCCTGTCAGCATCAAAACAACAGAGTGAGAAGAGGCTATAAAATGAAAACAGAAACCCAAAAAAGGATCATATCCAGCTAAGTATCAGGTGATAAAGAGAGGTGAAAGGTATCTTTCATGATGCATATTACATGCGAGCAATTTCACTAATATGTAATGAACAAACATTGATTGACAGTGATACAAGATTTTTCTGAAGTTGTATATGAGTTTGAAGGCGAACAACATTTTTTTCTTCCTAGTCCTAACTTGAAAGGGATGAATACAGGAAAACTGGGGCGTTAAAAATTAACCAAAAAACCAAACCGGACCAAATAATAAATCAAACTGACAAAAAACCAACACATAGTTTGATTTGGTACAGTTTGGTATTATTAAACAATTAAAAAAAACGAAAAAAGAAACAGACAATACATAATTTGATCTGGTGTTAATTTAACGTAAGAAAAAAAGAGCCTAAACCACCAATATATATATATATATATATATATATATATATATATATATATATATATATACCGCGTGGGTTTTTGTGTGTGTGTATGTTCCACAGCTATGAAGCACAGCTATGAAGCGATATTTATGCTACTTCTCATCCTTGCTCGGTTCAACTTCTTTTACCAAACGAATAGTGCTTCTGCTTCATGATTTTAGAGTTAAATGCAGGATTACACTGAATATTGTCAGTCTTTGATACAATGTGGCTCCTGCGGAAGATCCTGATACATCTATTAAGGATGCTTCTGTCTTTTTCACCCAATGTATATTTTTGGCTTTTTTATTGTCTATGGTTAATCTTAGCAGAGCCTTCATTTCGTTAATGAGTCAACTGGTGCTAACTGCAGTCTCTCACTGAAATCCCCTGGAGATGAGTCTTTGGTTTTTTATACATGAGACACCAAGAGATGTGAAATGCTGCTTCTCAGCCTATGTCATTTGGATCCCTTAGTTCCCGGTCACAGTTGTGGATGCAGTTAGCTTCAGAAACTAGTGCTTTGATATTAAAATATTCAAGGAAGGAAAAGTAAATTGGTTTGTAGAATTTCAAGTGACAGGAAAGAGAACGATAAAAAAGATCAAATAAAAAGAACCCAAATATGCTGAAACCAGAAAGCTGATTTATGCTTTGATTGGTATGGTTTATAGATTTAGCAAACTGACATAGTTGGTTTGGTTAAAAAACGATTCGAAATGAACCACAAACGCCCCTAAGAAAACCAACTACACTCCCATGGCCTGTCATTTAACAAATTTATAAGCAGGAAACATAATACACAAAATTCGATAAAAAATAAACTCTTACTTTAACAAATTGCCCAGTCCATCCTAGCTTCATTAATCAATTTTGATTTTCTGAACAATGTAGCAATCGCCAATCGCACAACTCCCCCAATTGTTTGAAAGGAATAAAAAGTTGTTCTATTTGGAACAAATACCTCCACGGTCATCTTCTTAGAAGCCTGAATCAATGTGGTACTACTTGTTGTACTACTCATCTACTCCTAAAACAAGGAGTGTCATGATCTGTGCATGACATCTTTAAAAATTGACAAACTAACGCAATAATACCAAATCCAAGAAAAACTTGTTCCCTAAACATAAAAGGGTTCTAGCTCAAAAAAAAGTCTCTCTTGTGACCACAGCGTGTGGTAGATCAGTTTAACAGAACCAATCTCATATCATTTGAACGCTCAATGACTAGGCCAACACTTTGGCACCACTGTTCAAACACGTGGTGTTAGATTCAAATCTGGTGGAAAACAATTTCCTCTTTTTACCACTAAACTAGTGCGTACATAAAAATGAAGGAAATTTTACCTTTGTGTCAAGCATGATGGCTATGACGTTGTCCTTAGACTGGGCATTATACTCCTTAACCAAATCGATGACTTTCTGATGAGATGCATGGTCTCCGTGAGACATATTGAGCCGAGCAACATTCATTCCAGCTTCAGCCAGCTTCCATATCATCTCCCTTGTGTTTGTAGAGGGACCAATTGTACATACTATCTTTGTCTTGCGCCTTACAGTAGGTTTAGACCACATGCCCACAGAAGTGTCACCAAGTTGCTGAATTGCCTGAAGATACTGAAGTTGCTCCTCACTCTGAAACATCAACAACCAAAAGTAATGAGATAGAAGCCTTTTTGATTGGTAGTAATGAGATATAATCCTTTATTTTGCTGTCAAAGTTATTATTCTTTAAAAGAAAATTTGTAGTAGTTATTTTTTCACATATCCACTGAGCTCAAAAGGGCACATTTTTTTTATAACCCAGCAAATCCCTGAAGGCCAATGGCAGAGGATTCGAAACTCGGTGGATAACGGGCCTTCCCCTCTACCTATATCTACGTAAATACCAGGCTTTTGTCTCACACATCATGTGTTGAGCTCTTAAAGCTGGACCAAAGTCATGGGGCCAAAAAAGGTTCAATTTTCTACTTCACAAATTTTGTTTAGCTCTAGATCGGTACATCATACATGCTTGTCAACTTCTAGTGGAACATATATATAGAAAAAAAAAAATCAAACAGCTCATCGACTGTTGTAACAAGCTCCACATCATCTAAACGTAGGAGAGCACGGAACCATAGCCACAGTCATTAAAGATAAAAACAGACAATTATGAGATAATTTGCAGGAAAAAAGAGGAGGACCTTAGGAACATCTTCAGGAGAAACGGGGAGGACTTGAGGCTCGGCACGCACAGATCTCCTAGCAGTGATCTGCGGCATATTTACACGAATAGCGTTACAGTTCTTGCTCCGTTCATTCCGAGCTAGCACTTTTGATGCGAAGCTAGAAGGCTTAATAAGCTTCTCGACTTGGGTCTGGAGAGATCCATGGCTAGGGCTGGAAAATGAAGTTTGGATCGAGCGAGTAGCCACCACTTGAGACATGTTTAGACAGAGAGAGAAATGGACGGAGAATTAGAAAGGGAGTGAGAAAATGTGTGAGGGAACGAGGAGTTATAGAGTATAAAAGGCGAAAGCAAGAGTGTGAGACTTTGAAGAAATCGCCGCTACTTTTTGGCGGAGATGTCGAAGAGAGGGGCCTCGAGTGTATCGAAGAGGAAAATATAAAGAAGCTGGAGGTTTGCTCAACTGTGTTACAGAACTGGGGAAAATATGAGTCATTTCTTTTTAGTCTTTATCTAAAAGTGATTCAGCAACTTCCCAACAAATTGGATTAAATCGGCGTCGTTTTGTTTGACGTTTCCTCGTTTGTGATACATCACGTGATCTTAAACTTTTTATTTTTATTTTTTTATTAGAGGTATTTTAGAGTATCTCATTGTTATTGTTTTGTGAGATGACCTAGTAGTTTGGAGAGAATTCCCAATCACTACGAATAAGGATGGCCGGTACCTGATCTTAAACTTTAACTTCATATATTTTTTACAATGGTACGAAAATTTCAGTGTTAGAAAGATTCAATTGAAAAAATCATAATATTTCAAGTTATGTTGAATTTCTATTCGCTACTATAATTTTAAACGGTATAATTAAAATATACTTAAACTTTCGATCTCCTCATATTACACTTTCACCTTTTGACATATTCTTCATGAACCATGGTGTAGAAAAGTTATCTTTAAAATTATATTACGATTCAAAATTATGATATTTTGATCATATAATTATTTCTTAGTAAACTTTGAACTTTAGGTTTTGAATAGATTAAACTTGCACTTTTTTTTAATCTTTTCCTTCTAAGTAGCTCAAAAAAAACTTTTTTTATACACCTTTCTTATGAGAATAGAACAAACAAACTTTTGCGAACTCGTTAGTTTTATTGTGCATTTAGAATTTATGTTCTAAATGTCGATAATAGCTAAGCTCATAATTTGTGAGTAGCACATTTATTATTGACTTATGGTACCTGAAGATTTTTTTTTTCTTTTTTTCTGGATAGTGAAGAAGAGGGTAAATTAAACAAATCATAATGTGAATTTTGTGGAATACGAATATTATATCCAACTTATTTAGATGGATATATTGTTTATTAACAAAACTAATCGGTCGCATATTAAATCTTCAACACAATATGTTGCCTTTTTTTCTTCTTCTTTTGGATATGGTATTATGTGTTGTATATAAATGCCGTAAGAAGTGAAAATCAACTTTAGTATAATTTCTTTGCATACGAAAATTAATTTTAATTATATCGTAGTCTAAATTTCCAATAAAAAGTAATATGGAAAATACTTCTAACTTATCTTTCCTTTTGCTTCGGTTCCTTCTTTCTAAACTCGAATAGAGAGAAGAAAAACTAAACGGCCGTCAAATATCACATTTAAGTCATACTTGCCAAATATTCCTTTTTGATTCTCCAAGTTTTCGGCGGGCCAAACTTTCTCCACAACTCTTCTCTACAGTTGTACCACTTCAGGCCATGACAAATTTAAACCAAAAGCAGAAATTCCTTTTCACTTTTCGCAGGGTAGGGCTAGGATTGAATAAAATAAAGGAATTTAATTCCAAAGCAATATTAATACTTCACTCTACCGCTAGTTGGCTGTAGGCCAAAATTTAACAGGCCATCCCAAAGTTGTGTCTTCCCTTCACCAACTATATTTGCTTCTTTTGTTCTTTTTTTTCCGAATTGTAACATCAACCTATAAACATCTTAATTCACGCAATCGGCTCTCAAGCAGCAAAGCTCCCAAAAAGTCTGACTTCTAGTGTGGAAATGCTTTCCGATGTCATATTTATCTCATTTCCCTCCATTACTGTTGTAAATAGGAGTGCCAAACGGCAGGCCGAGTCGGATATGGTTTGGTCCAAAACGTGAAAAAAATAATAAATTATCCGACCCGACCTGTATTTAATAAAAAACGAGTTAACCGGCGAATAATATGGGTAACCATATGATCACGCCCAACTATGCCTTATAAAAAAGACTAAGCGGTCGTTGCAAGTATAATCCGGTTTACAAGTCCGGAGTTGAATCCCACAGAGAACTAAGGCTTAGCTACAGCTGTTCACTATCACCAAGAAGACAGGCTTGAACAATTCCTAACTTATAGATATTAAGATTCTTGTGTTTAACTAATTAACTAACAAATTAAAATAGTAAATTAACAACCAAAGATACTAAGGATTAAGACAAGATTAAGGAGGTCTAGAGTTATGATTTCCCCTATTGTCGGAATCCTTTCCGCTACGTTTTTTATAAATTCGCCTAAGTATTCTCTTCCGATCATGAGCGCTCTGAGTGTTGTAATTCTCTCCCGAGTAACTACCACAATTTACTAGACATATTCTCCCGAATTAGGCTAGATAGCATTAAGTACGGCTCACTCGGGTCGCACCAAGGTTTCGTTATCCCTAATCCCACCTTTAAACCCTCCGTATTGATCCCTCATATACGTTAGGAGTGATGTTGTTCAATAACTACCTAAATATGCACTCTCTCCCGAGTAATACACACTAAATAGGCACAGTCGATTGAGAACTCTTCAACCAACCACAATATAAACGTAGTTGAACAAATAAAGAAAAAGCTACAACAAATCTATATTAACGTAACAGGAAAATCATCCTCCAATAGGTTCCATCAAAACCCAAGATAACAAATTAGCTATTCATAATAGTATGCATAACTACAATACTAGAATTCATAACCAATAATAGAAATAGGAAGAAGGAATTGAAAAACTCGTAGAAGAATTCCCCCTTGCTCCTAGTGTGTTCTTGCTTCCTTAGGTCGAATCCCCGGTCTAACGTCGGTCTCCTTGTCCGATCTCGGTCTCTCGTCTGTCTCCCCTCAAAAGTGGCATTTTTGGTCTATTTATATATGTAGGGAAAGACCTAAACGTGTAGGCCAAGTCCTAGTCAAACCAGGAGACGAAATAAGTCTTCAAAATTCGGAATGTGCACGCCCCAGGCCTGGCGTCGCCAGGCATAACGCCTGGTGGAGCTGGCCTTTGCCTGGCCTCACTAGCTTTCTCCTTTTCACTGTTCTCGAGCACACTTTCAATGTTTATATCCCTTTTGCTCTACTTTCATCTCCAATTCACCTACACATAAAATAGACTTCATTACGCGCAAATAAAGTGTAATTTGTCATTAAAGCATATAAAGTGCAAGGCAAATAATGTACGAAACTATGAAATTATAGCCACACATAACCATATTATCCATGACTTCCTGCATGTGATCACTTTTGGGAGAATTGTTGGTCTACCTAACTTGAGGAACCCCAATTTGAGGCTTTACAAATGTAAAAGTTAGACCCATTGGTTATTCATTGGTTACCCATTGGTTATCTATTTTCTAAATGGATAATATGGTTCTTATCCATATTTGACCCGTTTTTAAAAAGTTCATTATCCAACACATTTTTTAGTGGATAATATGGATGATTAAGTATTTTCTTTTAACCATTTACATTGTTGTGCACTATGCATATACTTGAAAGCAAGATGAGTAGTACATCGACTCATGTCTTTTGATACAACTAACAATAGATGCAGCCACATTCTTCCCAGTTGCAAATATATTAGATAATATTTTCTTAATTCCTTTTCCAACACAGCCATATCTCACCGCTAACCAAAGCAGAGAAACATGAATTAATAGTACCATGCACGAGAAACGTTTTCTTACACCCACCAAAGAGGTATGTGATCAGTTTTTGCAGTCTCAAACGGAAAACCAGCCACTTGATTCTTGTTGCTTGTTCCAGCTACTGTACCGTCCCCTGCTAGCATTGCCATTAAGCTACCCCGTGAACTCTGCCTTCTGGCAGTGACAATTGATCTACTGAATAACTTCTCAGGTAAAAGCTTGCTGGCAATTCATTCATTGGGGATAGCACTCCATGTCCATTACGGACCGAGCCAATAACCAATGTACCATCAGGATCGCGACCAGCAATACCATTTGTCTGTTTACATGTGCGCCGTAGGGGTTCTTGAAGTGCTGGACTGACTACACCGCCATTCCTCTGCTGATCTAACAACTGAGCACTGTGGGCAGCGTAGAGGCAAGATTTCCCTCTAGCATACTTATCACATGCCACAGCAGCTTGATCACCACACTCCAATCCCAACTGTCCCCAAGTGCATCGCTTTCCTCTACCATGTGCCTTGCAAAAATTGGTGCTTACTTGTGCACTCTTTGCACAGCCTGCGAACTTACACCTAACACCACCATGACGAACGCATAATTATGTACGACCTTTTGCACTTTTGGTATATCTGGATACAACACATCTCTTACCCCCACCATGACCAACACAAAATAAGGCGTACCCCCATGCACGCTCTCGGTGCATGCATCATGGGTACATCTTTTACCCCCACCATGTCCTTTACAAAAAAGAGTACTTCCTTCTGCACCTTTTGTACAACCGAAAATGGTACACCTTTTGTCACCACCATGGGCTTTACAAAACATTGTACTCCTTTGAGCACCTTTCTTACAGGCAGGATACTGGCAACGCCGACCACCTCCATGCGAGATGCATAGGTCGGTGCCATCCTCAGCTCTTAGAACAGTTTTCCATCTTACAACTTTTCCCACCCCCATGTCGAATGCGCAAGCCTGACCTCCCTCTTGCGGCACGAGTGCATCCTTCATGGATACATCATCTGCCACCACTGTGACCAATGCAGTAGTAAGTGCGACCTTCTGCACTCTTCGTGCACCCCAGAAATTGGCACCGCCTAACTCCACCATTTGCCTTACAAAATACTGTCTTGCCTTGAGCTCCTTTTTTGATATCCCAATCTATGCCACCTCCATGAGCAATGCAGAGGCCTGAAGCACCTCTAACCTCTTGCTCCCCTTGGACATCCTTCAAACCGACGTGTTCTTGCACTTCTACTGTGTTGTTGTTTCTATTCAACCCCAAAAGTACTAGCAATTGAACCCTTTTGAAATATTGTTTTATTTTTTAAGATGCTTGAATTAACAGGAAAATGATTTTGGAGTTGGTCCAGAGTATGGTTCATAACTGCAATCTGCAACAGAGGCACAAGAGATCCAGACTTCCGTTGTGACAATGTTGATCCATCATCCACATACTGTACTGAACCTACCACCATATGTTGAAAGACTCAGTTCAAGGTCTATTTTTGGTTTTGTAGGTTCTTGTTCCTTTGAAGTTTCAGAGAGAATAA